TATCTTCAGAGTCAGCATCATGATAGGAATTGTGGTGTGTGTTATCTTCAGAGTCAGCATCATGATAGAAAATGTCGTGTGTGTTATCTTCAGAGTCAGCATCATGATAGGAAATGTCGTGTGTGATATCTTCAGAGTCAGCATCATGATAGGCAATGTCGTGTGTGATATCTTCAGAGTCAGCATCATGATAGGAAATGTCGTGTGTGATATCTTCAGAGTCAGCATCATGATAGGAAATGTCGTGTGTGATATCTTCAGAGTCAGCATCATGATAGAAAATGTCGTGTGTGATATCTTCAGAGTCAGCATCATGATAAGAAATGTCGTGTGTGATATCTTCAGAGTCAGCATCATGATAGGCAATGTCGTGTGTGATATCTTCAGAGTCAGCATCATGATAGGAAATGTCGTGTGTGTTATCTTCAGAGTCAGCATCATGATAGGAAATGTCGTGTGTGATATCTTCAGAGTCAGCCTCATGAGAAACAGCGTCCCTCTGAGAGCTCCAGCGGCCCTTAAAATTTCACAAGCCTTTCAGTGTTGTACTTGCCTAAACAAGCCCACCGCCCCTGGAGCGGTAACGCCCACTTTGAGACCCACTGTTAACTGTGATATCTCATAGCTGACATAACTACAAGAATTTTCTATGAAAAAATGATATTGTTATCTTTTATGACATCCATAATGACCCATTACTCAATCATCAATAGCCAATGGGCAATGATATTTGAAAAATAGATCTTAATTAAAATAGATCTTAATTCAGATGATCAAGATTAATTCAATACAATAATTATGAAGAGTAAAAGTATTTTAAAAAATTGAAACTTCAAGGACACCTTCACATTTACCCGCGTTTATTTTTTATCGTGACACCCCCACCACTTCCAATCAATAAGAAATTCTATAATTAGTAAAGTTACAAAGCTTTTAAAATATAAAGGGGAAACCCCTTTCGGCAAACGCGGGGAAAACCCGTATTTTATAAAAACTATTCTAACGTTTAATGTTTACAGGCAAAGGATATTTGGTTCCTTAAATCTTAATTAGTGCTCATTGTGTTGATTCATATGACTTCTAAGCGGCAACAGTATTAATAATTTTTATAAACTAGAGATGAAAATATTGAAAAACTAGCTTTTAAAATTAAGGGCACGTGAGCAATGAACGGCATGGACAATCGCCAATCACAAACAATGAATTATAAATAAATTATTTATATTTATAATTTATTGATTGATTTATATTTAATGAAAATTTTGATTCAATAATCAATCTTTCCAACATAGAGTCTTTAATTCTTCAAATTTAATCTCAATCACTTATTGGTTGATTATTTGTAGCTGAAATCAGCATCAATTTGATCAATCAAGCCTCAACTTTCCTCGCCTCAGCCTCGCCTCAGCCTCGCCTCAAGTCTCAAGAGACAGAATATTCTCACTCGTTCAACAATAGATATAATTTATAATTGAAACGAATTGTATTAACTGTAATTAGTAACATGCAGCACATATTCAGATCGGTAACTTAAATTTAAATATCTGTTATAGTGAATTGTTCTTACACAAATGTATTTATTAGCCTATTTATTAAAATAACTTCCCCTTTTAATGCCCTTTTACTTTTAATTTTAAGTTCAATTAAATCAAAGACGTAGTACTTAGGCCTACCATAACTTACAGATAAAATTTGCTACCAGTAATAATTATTTTAATTAACTTTGAAAACATAATCAGAAACATCATTGGTATTTGAAATTTAAATATATCAGCTGAGATGCTTTACTTGATGATAAATTACCTCATTTCAGACATTAAAAATCTCATAATCAAACTTGTATAAACTACTGTAACTTACTGCTAGTAATGATTTCAATAAAGCAGATGTAAATATTCATTTAATATGATTGGATTTGATCTTCACATCTACATAAATTGTGTGCATTCTTTAACTTAATTATTTGTTCATTTCAGACTCACAGATATTACAGTCCTATTGTGTTAGATACAATGGCTAAAGTTGGTGTGGTTGGTGCAGGGGTACTGGGTTTGTCTTCAGCCCTTAACATACAAAAGATGATACCCAACGCTAAAATCACAATAGTTGCTGATAAATTTGACAAAGATACAACAAGTCATGGTGCTGGAGGATACTTTCGGCCTTATATGAATGACTATGTTGAAGAAGACAAACGAATGGTGGAGTAAGAACACTTTGAAACAAATTTGAAATTCCACTTAAAAATTGTCAAACTTTGGGGCCATTTGTTATCAACAAATCAATTTATTCAAATTGATAATCTTAATATTTGCGGTCTAGATTTTCTTTCAGTTAGTGAAGAATAATAAAGGTACCAATCATTTCTAAACATTGAGTTATAAATGACGGCATGCCTCTAAGGCAGTGCAGTCCAACCTTTGGACTACGTGAGCCAAAAAATTGTTTTCTGCTAATCCGAGGGCCTCAAAAGAAAGTTGTTTCTTTTTTTTTTTTACTCTTTAGAAAATTATTCATATTATTAATACTTCTAACTGTATGCATACAGTAAAGAGTCATATGTCCATTATTGGCTCATCAATAGAGTGAATAAAAACTGTAGCCCATTTCAATGATATATTTTGCTTTGAATTTTACTTACAATTTTCTTAATTTGAGTTAGTCATCAGTAACACCTGCCCTAAATGTTCACCAGTCAAAGTGTTACAATTTTAGACTTGATGTTGGTCAATACAGAGAATCCAGCTTCACTGATGTAGGGGGATTCCAAAGACTTGGTCCAAATTTTGTTTCAACATTTCCATATTTGTGGAAATTCATGAGATGAAACATGTCATCATCCAGAATTTATTTGTCCACACATTCATATGTTTGTGTAAAAAAATACTTTCAAGAATTATTCCTGCTGTCTCTCACAAATCGCCCCTGACTGAATATCACCATCACCAGCTACAAACACAGCTTGCATCCTGCTTTCTATCTGACTGAATATCACCATCACTAACTATAAACACAGCTTGCATCCTGCTTTCTATCTGACTGAATTGCACCATCACTAACTATAAATACAGCTTGCATCCTGCTTTCTATCTGGCTGAATTGCACTATCACTAACTATAAACACAGCTTGCATCGTGCTTTCTATTTGACTGAATTGCACTATCACTAACTACAAACACAGCTAGCAACCTGTTTTCTATCTTACTGAATTGCATCATCACTAACTACAAAAACAGCTTGCATCCTGCTTTCTATCTGACTGAATATAACCATCACTAACTATAAATACAGCTTGCATCTTGCTTTCTATTTGACTGAATTGCACCATCACTAACTACAAACACAAATTGCATCCTGCTTTCTATACATTGAACATCTCATACTCTGTTTCATACTCATTCTCTTAAAACCAGGCACTTGTCCCCAAGGTCACAACAATTTAGGATGGACACACGCTCTGTCTCATACCTGGCAGCATGACCTGTTTAAATAACATGGTACCATACATGGTTCATGCTGCCCAGGTTCCCAAATGGTTTCTCTGCTGATGTGTCCAACATAAATTACTGCTACCTGTCAAGCCATACCACTCCTTAGCTTTTGTGCCCCCCTTTTCCATATTACAACTTCTCAACAATACTAAATCAATGAATGTGGTTTGAAAATATATTCACCCTAAAATATTATACTTTTTACACACATAATAAAAATGTCTCAAGCTGTGGCACACCATTTAAAATCAGCCCACAGGTCATGGGTTGGACAGCACTGTAAGTGTCTAATTTGTGTTAAAAATTTTTGATGATTAGGGAAGATAATTTTTCCCAAAATAGTGTGACATAATTTATGGACAACCTAAAATATAATAATAAGTATTTTGTAGTTATGAGAAAAAGGTGGTAGACTTGCTTTTTTGAAAGAAAAACTATAAAGATATTTCTTCTCTCACTAGTACGTAAGGAAAATAGGGCTTGTATAAAGAAAAGGCTAAATCTTTGCGTGTATTGTTACACTTTGGCAGATCAGTTGGGTTATGGCGCCCTTGAGGGTTTTATATATTTAAAATTAATACCACCTCCCAGAAAATCTTGGTATGCTGATGCCTTTTTTATATGTCCATCACTGCTTATATGTAGACTTATAGTTATTAACAATATGCAAACATTATATTCTACATAGACAGTGGTGCAGAGATTCCTGGGAGTATTATAGCAGTCTTGCTCATTCTTCTGATGCCTATGAAAGTGGTCAAAGAATGGTCTCTGGAACGGTTGTGTATAACACCCCTCAGGTAAATGGCAATTATGAAGAAATTAAAATATTTAGAAATAAATACACCCATTTATTTTGTAAATAACCAAGAGAATGATTTTTATTAAAGGGGATTAAAAAAATATGCATGCTATTTATATGAAAGTATTTTGAAATCAGAAAATGTCAAATTAAATAGATTAGATAAATTTGCCTGTCAAATTTCAACTTTCTCGAAAATTAACTTAAAACTGTCCTCAAAAAGATGAAACAGACAGGCAATGCTCATGTCAAGTAGAATAAAATGGATGTAAAATATATTTTTAAATTGTCACAGTTAACTTTCATTACTTCTATTTTGTTGTGTATAATTTTTATATTTAATTTGCCAGTTTTAGAAAAGTATGGCCATAACAGTACTTCTAAAATCAATTAAAAAGAGCCCAGTTATGTATTATATAGAATTGTATTTCAGGTATATTTGTTTAAATTTATAAAGGAAATAACTAATTTTTTATTTTTTTTTGCCTTTGCTATTTAAGAGAAAATTGAAAAAAGGCCCTGCCATAGCCATAGGTGCCTATCATAATATCAATATTTCTTTTTAACAGGATCAGCCATATTCTTTACTTGCCAGTTTATCCTCTGATTTTCATCAAGTAAATAATGATTATTTAAAAAGAATGAATTTAAATTACAAGTAAGTTTAACAAGAAGTTTTATTTATGATAAAAGAAGTTTATAGCTGTTCAGAATTTTTTTAAAATAAAAGATTTAAAAATTTGAAAGCTTTTTTGTTTCTAAAATTTGATTTGTTTATGTATCTCCATGCATAAATTTTACTCAGATATGGTTACAACTTTACAACAGTCGTCACACAACCTCCCAAGTTTTTAACTTGGATTATGAGTCAGTGAGTTCAAATGTTTCTATTAATTATTTTCTATATTAAAGATTTCATGGAAAATTATACCAGGCTAACAATTTATGATGCTTTAATTAATACTTATTATAGCATAATTTTTAAGGGTAATGCCATTTTTTTCCGAAAGAAAGGAAATTATAAACAATTTTAAAAGAGGCAAGCTTGTTATTAGGATAACTAAGTTTTACAGCGGGTGTTCTATCCATTGGAAATAGCACACTATGAATATTAAAAGTGGTATGTGTTAACTTATTCTCATTTAATTAGCAACAGTGGACCTGACCCTGCATTAAAAAATCTATATGCTTTTTGATTCCACAAAGGAGATTCAATACATGAGCTTTCTGATTTTCAAAACGTAATAAGGAATGTTAAAATATTTAGTTGTCAGTCATTAATATTACTAATTACAGTTAATTTAACTATTTTTTTCAGATTTAAGGAAAATGGAGGTTCTGTTGAAAAAAGAACAGTACAAAAACTAACAGAAGTATGAAACTATTAGGTTTTTAAATCCTGCATTGTACATACAAAACTTGTCTCTTTTACCTTATAATTTTACGTTGATTAAATGTTAACAATTACTTGACGCGATTCTTGGAAGAAAACATTTCAGTTTAACTTCAGTTACATTTATATTACATTAAAAATGTTCATTTTGATACTATATTCAATTTTTTAAATTATATAATATGATCAATATGGTGTTAAATCATAGAAAACACTACATGAAAATTTTCAAAATTTTCCAGAACATATTACCATTACTTTATTACTATGCTTTCAGCTGATTGGAGAATTTGATGTTGTAATCAACTGTTGTGGACTTGGAGCCAGAGAGCTAGTAAATGACAATGATATTGTTCCAGTTAGAGGTCAGCTTGTAATGGTGAATGCCTTTTTTTCTAATCTAGTGTATTAGAAGTATGATTAATGATAATGTATCCGATACAGAGCTATTATTACTAAGTATTGCTCCATCATCATACAATTCAACTATAACTGATTGAGTGCGTGATGAAAAATGTTTAGGAGTACCATATTTTTATTTGTGTTACAATTTTTCTTTCTGTTAGGTACACGCCCCTTGGATAAGGCACTTTTTCCTTTCAGAGGATGATGTTTACTTTATACCACAGTAAGAATAATTTGATTTTATGAATATATTAGAGATAGTCAAGTTTTTATTTTAAAATGTGTTCTTTTTATAAATGGATTTTATATTTGCTAGTAACGATATTTTCAATTGATTTTGTGTTAAAGTGATGATAAGCTGATTATTGGTGGCACCCGAGAACGTGGCAACCACAGTCTTACACCCGACCCTGCAATCAGGGACAAGATATTGTCCAGAGCCTTGGGATTGTTTCCTCAGTTGAAGGTAATTCTTTTAATTTTAATGACAGACTTAACTAAACTAAAAGGGAATATTTCAACTCAATGAAAAATTAAAAATGCTATTCACATCGTATATGGCTGCCATTTTTGACATAGACAGCCATATATTGACAATAGTTTTCATAGCACCTAAAACTTGGGCATGTTTATACATCTTTACCCAGTTCCTTCCCATCTTTTTTTATGTCTGTAAACAGGTTGTCTAATCTGAGCCTAGTGTGGTGACACATGCTGTCAATCATTTCCCCCACTGCCCTTGATTGGGAAAGTTTGTGTATGTATCCAGAAGGCTCTACATAGATGGAGAAATACTCTCCATTGATTTGAATTTCTATTCTGGAGGGTTCTGACTCCCTCACTATAAATAAGACGGCTAACTGTGACTAACAGACTTTTATGAGACTTGCCAGACTTACAAGAGCCCTTCAAGACTTACTAGATCTTTAACTATGTATGTGTGAATTAATATTTGTACCTTTCTAGTATTGAACTTTTTCACTTGCTGTGTTGTTAGTTAATAAAGTTCTTATTTCTGTACATTTGATTTTGTATTTTTATATCAACTTAATAGTACTTAAATTGATTTTTTTAAATATCACTAGCCTAGGTATCTTTTTTCTTTGTTTAATGGTTTTCAGTCCTTTCATCTAACAAGCCAAATTTTAAAACAACATATTAAATTTTTTAAACTTTATTTATAGGGGCCTACTTTCAAGCCATGGGAAGTAAATAAATAGTGTAAAAGATATGTTTAGGGTTTAAAAAAGACATGAAACTTAAATGGATGTATGAGCTAGACGCCTTCTTCAGCAGGCAATACAATAATTAACAACAAATAAAGAAAATATGTAACTTATGATTTTGAAGATGTCAATAATATCAACGTAGGCTGTAGGTCAAAGTTCAGAGCAGGAAGCCTAAACTTATCTTGTTACACTATTTATTAAACCTTAAATGGTACGTAACAATATTCTTAAAAGCATGTTACAATAATTACAGTAATTAAACAAAATACTGACTTATCTTAAAAATCTTTCCCAATTATCTTATTAGGGTGCAAAGGTTGTGGAGGAATGGGTTGGACTGCGGCCATCTAGGAAAAAGATTAGATTTGAACAAGAAATATTACAGGACATCCAGGGTAGAAAGTTACCAGTTAGTATTATTTTAATAATTATTTTTTACCATTGCACCAATTTTAAGTTAGGTTATAAAATAATGGAACTATTCACAATTTTTTAAAATTAATTTTATAAATAGTTAAATTACGTTATGATAGCCGATTGTTTAATTAAATGAGGGAAGTGTATTCAATAATCAAGCTTGATGTCTCAAAAGAATTTACTGGTAAGAAAAGCTTTAAAAAAGTAAGCCTAAAGATTTAAATTTATTAAACAACTGAATAAACAATTGAACCTCTATTTCAGGTCCTTCACAACTATGGCCATGGGGGTCATGGAATATCACTTGGCTGGGGCTCAGGGCTTCATGCAGCCAAAATAGTTAAAGATATTCTCAAATTTGACAAAATATGATACCCAGTTGTTTGTGGGGATAAATGAGCAAAATAAAACAATAATTTTCTCCCCTAAAATTAACTTGCTCTAACACTCTTGACCAAAATTGTATGGTAATGGATCCTCAAATTCTTCCTCTCATGACTCAAACAAAGAAAAAAATTGAGATAATGATTAGTTATTTGGGTTCTAGAGAAATGCAAATGAGGCTTTCACATCTCCTCATTGAACTTCCCCCCTTCTTTATGTAATGTGTCTGTGGTTGAATTTAGCAATTGTGTCTTTCATTATTCCTTGTGGTTCTCATTTTTGTTTCCTTTGATGTCTGAGCCGTGTTCCAATCTTGCCAGGGCACAAACAGGGATTCTTTAAATGCATGCATGATCTGCCAAAAAAATAAAAGTAAATATTAAGTTTTTAAACTTGCTTTAGTAAACAGTAAATTGTTTTGTTGCTTTCCAAATAAAACCCTACTTGGCAAAATGATTCATATTATTGTATAGTATAACAATAAGATATTTTATTTGACGACTCTAAAGTTAAATGATATGCCCAAAATATGATATCCTATTGTGAAACTTAATCTTACTTATTACCAGTCTTTTATGTCATAGTGATGCTGTTTGTAAAGCAGATTATAACTTATTATTTTATTTATGACTGCAACTCAGTTTTCAAACATGTATAATTGTTAGAGCTGAGATGGTTACAACTTTATTAATAACTGAATTAATTGGGCCAATCTCTGTCATCTAAATTAACATTCCATTTAAGAATATGTCTTAAGCCACATAAAATTTAAAATACAATTTTATTTACTTGTGAGTTCACAACTTAAATTTTGCTTATGAAAAATGTTACATTTATTTGCTTTGCAATAATTTGTATGAAAGTAAATCTGAAAAGAAATCTAAAAATCAAGATTTTCTTTGCCATATTGTTAAAACCAAAAAGTATTATTAACTAACTACAATGTTTTAAAAATACATTTTGTTTTTTAGTTACTCTTTCAATGTGATAAAGGTTATATAACAGTAAGCAACAATCTTTTGTATTGTAATTGCAATTATTTGTGTAAATAAAGATGTACTTATCAACAGAGAATCATTAATTTTTCCCTCATCTGTGTCAAGATCAGAAATAGCATGCTAATGAAAAGGCGTTTTCTTCCTTTTCATGTTTTGCCAAAATTCACAAAAACAAATTAGAATTTCTAACAATCTGAATTTTATGCTGTCATATGTTATTTTTTTGGGTCTGTTAATTAACTCTTATTTACTATTTTAATATTTCTCGTAACATTAAATGATTATTATCATCAACTTTAGTTGTGTCATATTATAATCTTTAATTGATTATTTCTTAATTTGAGGAAGTGTATAACTTGGTATGACAGAACATCTACTTCAACAAAAGAAATAAATTTGCAAACATCACATTAGAAGGTAATTGGGAACTAGTACTGTTAACGTGCGGGTTTGGACAAGGTCGCTTAGACTTAGAAATAAATTTAAAAAAAAAAAAAAAAGAGAGAGTAATCTGTTTTTAAATTAAACAAAGAAAAGTGGAAAAATATTAACTAAAAATAAGAAGATTCCAAACCAGGCTAATGATCCAATGCAATTTTTAAAATTTGTTTTAATTACTACATATCAGTATCAGGATCCTCAAAAGCTGTTATCGGTACTCAATAATTTATTTCAAACAATGGCGTAATGTAAATTTCGTCACTCATATTGTCACCTCCAGCACTGATTTTATTATTTTTAAAAATTCAGTAATGTGAAATGAAATTTATTAATTATAATTAATCTTGCTCTATCACGTAAATTCAAATGGGAAATAAATGTTCGAGGTAACATAAATTGATTTAAAAAAAAAAAAAGTTTTCTCCCTTTATGAGGCTAGAGCAAGGCAACGAGCGAAAGAGAGAGGGAGAGAGAGAGAGAGAGAGAGAGAGAGAGAGAGAGAGATATAATGGGATTTTTTTTAAATTTTGCCCCATGGTTCTTTATTAACTATTAGTATTACTTTTGTCACATTTTAAAATTAAAAAGCAAAGAATTAGATTGATTTTTTAAATGACAATATCAATATGTGTGCTGGATCTTTTTCTTTATTAGATTATGATACTATTAGAGTTTAGATGTACCTACATAAATTTATATATTTTAGAATTTATTAGAGTAATTTTAAACCAAGCTGAAGCCTAGCTTAAATTTAGAATTAGAAGAGGCTAGCTTATAATATTATTTAAGCCTATCATCAGTGTCATTATGAGTTTAAAAAATAAATAAATCACTATTCAAATACAACCGAACAGCAAGTTACAACAAGTTATGTAATTTCATAACGTACGTGAAGTCGTAATTGACACGACATTGAATTTTTAGGCCTACTTACTACTACTACTAAACTACTACTACTACTGCATAGGAAATAAGAGTTGGGGGGGGGGGTCAGTAGGGGTGTACATACGATAACGACCAAGTCCAACAGTTACCGGTGAATGAGGGGTTTTTAAACCATTGGATTAAGATTATCGAAGTTTTCTGTTGTTGTTGATAGAAAGGAAGTGATATAACTTATTATAACTCACGGTAGACTTTGTCGATAATAGTTATAATTAGTTCATAGGATAAGCGGTATATTATCGGAGTTCTTAGACTTAGTTAGAATGCGATTTTCAAGTAGGTAAATGGTGGCACTGAGATTGGCAATGAGGCGCTTAGCCTTATGACTGTCTACAGTCTACAAGAATACGTTGAAATGTTATTTTCTTCTCATGACATTGGAGTTTGACCTTGTCATCGGAGTTAAGAGAGCCAGCCGCCGGGTTGAAGTAACGAGTCACGCCTTTAGGAAGGCCTGTCATACGGAGACGAATGCCATCATGAAGAAAGTGGAGATGTACCGGTACATAGCAATCTGGCTTTCTTAAAAAAGGCACGTTCCTTGCAATCGGTGGCTCGGTCAGGTGGTAGTGACCTCAAGCCAGTCAAGATAAAAAGGATGAAGTTGGTTCATGGCAATTTTAAAGGAAGGCATAGTGGAGAAGTGAGAGACAAGAGGATGTCGGTTAGACAGATTGGAAGGAAAAGTAAAAAGTTCCTAAAAGTGGAAGCTGAAATAAATAATACAGCAAAGTACCAGATGAAAAAAACCACACAAAAACTACCAACAGAACGTGGTGCCATAAGTCTGGGTCAGCTTTTTTTCCCCAATGCACCCGGTTTGGTGTGTTAGTAGTTAGGCCTACAGAACACAATGGCACTGAAAGTAAAATCATCTTAACTCTTGTGTTCGCTTTTATTGAATTGTTTGGACACGGGACAGTGCTTATCTTGCACAATATTACGGACGTGTTCACGGAGTTTCATGACACCATCTTGCATGAAATGTTATGTTCTTATTCACCTGTTAAACCTTTTCTCTGCCCCTCCTCATCATGACCACTCACAGCGGACTTACTTTTCCTCTCGTCTGTTCCATTTTGCCTGTATTTAATCTCTCACTTACTTTTTTTTTCTGTCTCATTCCTCTTGCAGCTAAGTGTTATTTTCATTTTTTTTTTTTGGTAAATACTTTTGTTGGTTCGCTGAAGAAGGCTTCTTGCCGAAACCTTCGTTGTTTTGTTGAATCCCCCCCCCCCCCAGGTTTTCTCATACTTTGTTTCACTCATTTCCTTTTTTCTAACATGATTGCCGTCTCTCCCCCTTGCTACGATGCTACTACTAGTACTACATACTAGTACTACTGCATACTAGTACTACTACATACTAGTACTACTACATACTGGTACTACTGCATACTAGTACTAGTGCAACTACGTGATTATTACACTCACCAAGTAATACTATATTACAAGTACTGATCACTAGAAAACTAACTTATTACCTAATCCAAAGGTTCTCAAACTACGGCCCTCGGACTCGGCCAAGATCCGACCCACCAAGGGTCTTTAGTTATCCCCACCTATAGCCGTCGTTCAAATATAGAACCGGGAATTTACTATTTCATTAGCCAAAAGCATGTTCATACTTCCCATTGAAATAAATACAAACTGATTAAAATTGCTCTTCATTTTAAATATTGAATTGTAATAGTAGGAATCTGATCATATTTTTCCAGCTATAGCTCGGCCCCAAACAGTGTTTGATGGACAGTGAAGCAACCCCCACCTCCCCATTAAAAAGTTTCAGGACCCTTGACCTTATCATTAAAATTGAATCATGGTTAAAAAATCTCCTAATAATATAAATAATTAGGCCTATAAAATATAAATAAATGTACAAGTTTGTTCTTGTCATGGAAATTATTATTTTATATTATTTTCAAGATTTTAACGTTAATGTAATGTGTTTATAATAGTAGATCAATCTTCTGGCTTGCAGTAGTAGACATAACAGACAATGGTTTACATACCAACACATTAAAACATGCAAAACTTTATACGTTTTTTATTCTAAGGAGTCACAACTCTGGGTCTGTACACAAGAAACAGATTTGGAAAAACTCATTAAAAAAATTTGCTATGAAATGATGAACCGATAAATAGGCCTACAGTTTATTATTTTTAATATATTCTTCTTCTTATTATTATTACAGTTGTCTTATATAGCGCGGTACCCCGGCCTTGAGCACATACAAATTAGCAAAAAGGAAAAAAAAATAAAGAAACATGACATTAAAAAAAAAAAGGGACATAAAATTATTCATTTAAAAACAGCTTTGTAAAATGATTGACCTCACTCAACCAATGACTATTTACCCCTGCCTAGCTGACCGCACTCAACCAATGACTATTTACCCCTGCCTAGCTGACCTCACTCAACCAATGACTATTTACCCCTGCCTAGCTGACCTCACTCAACCAATGACTATTTACCCCTGCCTAGCTGACCTCACTCAACCAATGACTATTTACCCCTGCCTAGCTGACCTCACTCAACCAATGACTATTTACCCCTGCCTAGCTGACCTCACTCAACCAATTACTATTTACCCCTGCCTAGCTGACCTCACTCAACCAATTACTATTTACCCCTGCCTAGCTGACCTCACTCAACCAATTACTATTTACCCCTGCCTAGCCATAGCAGCGTCGAGCGTTGTTTATTGGTCAGTAAAAGGGGGAGGGGTGAGAATGAGTCTGAATAGTACAGTTTGAAGAGATATGTCATGAGTGCAGTTTTGAAGGCTTGGGTGGTCGGTATATTGCAGATGTGTAATGGGAGAGAATTCCATTGTTTGGGGGCGCAGAAAGAGAAAGTTCGCCACATGTTTTAAAGCGTGTTCTGTAACAGAAAGTATACGTGTGTCTGCGGAGGAGCGAAACTGTCAAAGCTGTGAATAGACAGAAAGAAGTTTCGTAAGATAAGAAGGGAAGGAACCATAGACAAGGTTGTGACAGAGAACAGGCAGTTTGTAATCAATGCGTGCCTGTAAAGGGAGCCAATGACGTTGGGTGAAGTAGTGGAGTGACGTGATCACGTTTCTTTGACTTGAGAACTAACCTATCAGTATTTGGTTTGCATTTATCAAACAGGAAATCTTTTTCCCTTTTCATGATTTCTGGTGTGGTTATTAATCCAAAAAAGTCTCTTTTAGATGTACACTTTAAATTATCGATACTTTAAATATCGACCCGACTGTGTACAGGGCCGGCTCTACGCTTCCTAGTGCTAGCGCCCCGGGAAAGCTTATCTTTTGCGCCCCTTTTAAGTATAATCACTCACGGGCGCCGTGGTTTTTCTTCAATAGCGCCCACATGCAATACTTTATCATATTTTTCAAGATCGCCGATAGCGCCCTAAGCACGTGGGACTCTGGGCCAATACCCGCGTTGCCTGTGCCTTGAGCCGGCCCTTTGTGTCACCATTTGATTGAGCCTGTTCCTAATATCAAGTATAATTTACAAGTTTGTATTTTTTCTTTAAAGTTACCGGGTATTCTATTTTTGTTTGTTGGTCAAGTATTAGGCCTACTTCTAAAGGTGTTGGCTGCATGATTTAACTTAAAGTCTGAGGTCAACTGATGAAATTCTTTGTAGCTGTTTTGTCATTAGGGTTGGCCTATTTAGTCACTTATCGGTCCAGTTATTTGCTAGTAGCACTGTCGATTAAAATTAATGTTATACATGCCTCTAGCCAAGGAAATGCAACATAGTCAGGAGTTGAAAAAGTGTCACATTTAAAAGTATAACTACCTAATGAAGCTGATATCTCTTTTCATTGTAGCTTTCAGTAAGCATTTCTTCCATTAACCAAGGGCTTGCTTATCATCTTAACTTTTAGCAGCGAGAAGC